CTTGGTCCCCATTGGCTAATTCAGTTTTTCAGTCCTGGATTAATTATTTATCGTTAGATTTGTATAAAACAAAGTTCATATGCTCCGTGGTCCAAACTGTCATTTTTATTGTTACCAGTACATTTTCCTTTCGATAACGGATGTGACGTAAATTTAGCAAAAACTGCAATTTTGACAGTTCGGTACCACTTTTTGAAAGCAAATATTATTTTTTTCAAATCTGGTATGACTGAAAGGGTGTGCCCTGTTAAGGCGCAGAAATCATTACGCTCAGTTTTTTTAATTTTTATTTCGTTTTCGGATCATTTCGATTTAAAGGCGGAAAAAATTGAAAAAATGAGCTATTCACAACCCATTCAGGCTTTTCATATTTTAATATATTTTTTTGAAACTTTCATAAACTAGTAGCAATAATCCATACGAAGAGAATGTATGTGAAAATTAGTTTGTAATATGAGCAGTTGCCGAGAAATGGGCAATTTTGCATGAGTCACCCTTTACGCTAGTTTGCCTGTAAAAGAGTCATTTATTCGATTTTCATAAAAGTGACACCATTTGATGCGTAATGTCAGTTTTAACAAGGTCAAACCAATTAAACCGGAAATGACGTAATTTGGGCAAAAATTGCATTTATAGCCTTCAAAACCAGTATTTTATTCAAATGAGTCGTATTTGTTATTTGTTTAAAATTTTGATATTTGATCCCAATCAACCAATAGAATGAACCCATACGATCATATAGGTATCACAAAATGGTTTCTAACTTGTTCAGTTGCCGAGAAATAGATGATTTTCAACAGGTAACTTTTCAAGGTTTTTGGTCCATAAAAGTGTCAATTATTATTATTGTTCGATTTATGGTTCGATTTATATAGCGCTTCATTACACGTGAAGTGTTTCTAAGCGCATATCACAAACATATACTTCAAACACACAGAAACAATCAAAATCAGGAGAACATAATTAAACATTATTATTTGATTTTCATAAAATTTTCACCGTGTGATACCTAATGCCATTTACGATTTCATACAAGTAATTTAACACTTTTACTGTCACTGGAAGTAATGTCATTTTGGCAAAAACTGTATTTTTAGCCTTCAAAACAGATATTTTATTTCGATTTAAAGGCGGAAAAAATTGAAAAAATGAGCTATTCACAACCCATTCAGGCTTTTCATATTTTAATATATTTTTTTGAAACTTTCATAAACTAGTAGCAATAATCCATACGAAGAGAATGTATGTGAAAATTAGTTTGTAATATGAGCAGTTGCCGAGAAATGGGCAATTTTGCATGAGTCACCCTTTACGTTAGTTTGCCTGTAAAAGAGTCAATTATTCGATTTTCATAAAAGTGACACCATTTGATGCGTAATGTCAGTTTTAACAAGGTCAAACCAATTAAACCGGAAATGACGTAATTTGGGCAAAAATTGCATTTATAGCCTTCAAAACCAGTATTTTATTCAAATGAGTCGTATTTGTTATTTGTTTAAAATTTTGATATTTGATCCCAATCAACCAATAGAATGAACCCATACGATCATATAGGTATCACAAAATGGTTTCTAACTTGTTCAGTTGCCGAGAAATAGATGATTTTCAACAGGTAACTTTTCAAGGTTTTTGGTCCATAAAAGTGTCAATTATTATTATTGTTCGATTTATGGTTCGATTTATATAGCGCTTCATTACACGTGAAGTGTTTCTAAGCGCATATCACAAACATATACTTCAAACACACAGAAACAATCAAAATCAGGAGAACATAATTAAACATTATTATTCGATTTTCATAAAATTTTCACCGTGTGATACCTAATGCCATTTACGATTTCATACAAGTAATTTAACACTTTTACTGTCACCGGAAGTAACGTCATTTTGGCAAAAACTGTATTTTTAGCCTTCAAAACAGATATTTTATTCAAATGCGTCTAATTTATAATGTTTTTCAAATTATGATATTTGATTCCAATCAACAAATAGATCGAACCCATACGATCATACAGATACCAGAAAATGGTTTCTAACTTGCACGGTTGCAGAGAAATAGGCGATTTTCTACAAGTCACTTTTCAAGGTTTTTGGTCTATAAAAGTGGCAATTATTATTCAATTTACATAGAATTTTCACCATGTGATGCCTTATGCCATTTCTTATTTCATAAAACTAATTGAACATTTTCATTATCACCGGAAGTACTGTACACTTACATGTAAAAAATGTATAAAATGAATTAATATTGATATTTAAAGGGTTTTAGATCTTTTAAAACATGTTGTAAGTTGCATCAAAATCCTATAAAAACTTAAAAAGGTTTTGCAACCTAAATATAAGATTATTCATACAATCAGGGGCCATAATCCGGGAAGCTGGGTTCATGCAAATATCAAAAGGAATGAAGATCTTGGGGTTATAAACATAAACTATTAGCGAACAGTCAGCAGTCATTTTATTGGGCAGTTCATAATTAAATAATAATAATATCGTCATTTATATAGCGCGTTAATATATAGCTTTGGATCTTTCCAATTCGATGTACAGTCCACTCTGTCACATCCGAACTCTGATCACTCTGGCACTCTGTCACATCCGACACCATTTTCATGTCCCGATTTATTTCCTTATTACTTCAGCTAAAAAATCTCTGGGTAATTCGACCTCTGAACGTTCCGGATTACGACATCAATCAGCCGTCCCGTCATACGATTTCCATTGAATCGACACCGTATAATCCGGCCTTCAATCGGTGGGTGTGAAGCAAACACTTACCGATCAATTATCCGTGAGATTAAAACTGGATGGGTGTGAAGCCACAAAAGATTAACAAGCAATCACCAATCAATTATCTGTGAGATTAAAACTCGCTACCTTTGTTGGTCTTTGTTGATTACTTTGATAATTTTAATCTCTTGTACGACAGTTGTGACAAATACTCAAGAATATCCACGAATTTTTACCCCGAATTCACAGTCGTTAAAATATCCCTAGCACCTGTTGGAAACATTCGTTGCGCATGCGGATTGAACCTGAATAACTTATAAGTTTGGTAACCCTACGGATCTCTTCGAACCGTGTGACGACGACGACCTGGGGATGCTCGATTCACAGTCCGGAACGTCCCGAATTGACAGAATTGCAATCGAGTGACGCAGAATTCAGTCCCGACGACGGAGGGTTAGTGAGTAGAATTGTGATGTAATTTTCACCCAATTGTCACTATTTTTCGGGATTGAGAGAATTCAATTCCGGAACGTACAATCGAGTACGCCCATTATCAACGAACACGTGATATCAAAGACAAGAGTGGGATCAATTGAAGACGGTGAAGAAGATAAATTAACGACACACTTGACTTAGTCACTATTTTTGGGATTGAGAGAATTCAATTCCGGAACGTTCAATCGAGTTCGCCCATTATCAATGAACACGTGATAGCAAAGACAAGAGTTCGATCAACTGAAGACGGCGAAGAAGATAAATTAACGACAGACTAGACCTATTTGGAATGCCTACGCATGTTAAATGAAATAAAAATTAATGTAATACAATTTTGAATGTACAGAAATCATTTTTAAAGGGAATAACATTCTGGTGATTCGAAGTTCTATGTTCGAAGCTACATTATAATAATACTTCCGGTTTTCGAAGTGCACTGTATATGATAGAAGGCAGTGGAGCAAATACTTTGTATGTGATCTTTAAATGATAGGTTTGAGTCTAATATAGCACCAATATTTCGAGCTTTATGGGTTCCACAAATTATTTCTTTATCAAAATTAACTATCGTTTGATCAATTTTCCGGAGTTGTTGCTTGGTTCCAATTACTAGCAGTTCTGTTTTATTTGGATTTAATTTCAAGAAATGTTCTGTCATCCACGCAAGAATTTCTGTGAGACAAAGTTCTATATTTCAAACTCAACAGCTTTTTAAAACTGGATAACAATTGTGACCTCCACAAGGTCCATAAGATAAAAACATGGTTTTCCGTACAATCGGGGGACATAATAAACAACATAATTAGCGGTCCAAAGTTTGCTAATGTCGCAAGGAACTTTAAGTATCATCATAATCTGATAAAAATTGTGACCTCTAGAGTGTCCACGAGCTAAGGCGTCATAATCCATGAAGTTACGGTCCGATACATGCCAACCTATATTTCAAGTTTCATCAAAATCGGAAAAAAATTAAGACCTGTAGAGTGTGCACAAACAAAATGTGAACTGACGCCCGGACACACAGATGGACAGAGGTGACAACATACGTCCACATCAAAATGTGATTCCAAATAAATATAAAGAGAGAGGAATCCAAAACCATTGTTCAAATGTATCATTTGTATAGTTGTATTCTCTGACGAAGTAAGTTTTTATACTTACGAAACGTAAGATTCTATATAGATGGGTTTGTGATACCCATGACTTTATTTTTAACCACATGAAAATGTGAGCGTATAAAAAATAGGTAATCAAGACTTTATTTATTATCCTAACAATGATAGCAATGACAACCGAGACTACACGGATTACTCATGTGTGTGTGCAAACAAGGCAAAACAATTTTCGATCTTAATCTTACCATTTGTCCCAGAACAAACCCACGGCAAGTGACCTAAACAGTGCAATTTGTTACATTTAAATGGTTTGGAACATTCCTATTTCCTTCAATTGTGACAAAGAAATATAAGATAAGAAGAACCCTGAGCATTCCCAGTCGAATTTCATTCATTCTCGCTTTTTGAAGCTTAATATATACTTTTTACGCTTATTACGTTGTGCCTTTTCAGATTTTAAATCATTTTATATAATATAATCACAAATCAGTCGTAAGTTAATTGACGCAATCTTTGGGATCTTTTCTTGCGATTTTTCAGAGGGTTAGGGTTAGAGTTAGTTTGTGATATTTTTATTTCCGTATTATATGTTCTCCTTACACATCGTACAGTGAAATAAATTTAGCGACCTGTTTACAAATATAAACTTTATCAACTTACAATGTACTATAACCATCAGTTGTTTAGATTGAGAACCATGTATCTCTGTATTTGTAGCCTGACAGGTGTAATTACCAGCTTGTTGTCTGTTGTTCAGTGAGAGAAGTGCAGTAGATGATATTGTAGTTGAACCGTTATACCACCTGATATTACACGGTGATGGATTACAGTCACCTGAACAGGTTACAGTTTTACTTTCATTTTCTATCACCGTTATACTAGAACTAGTTGGTGTAAATCTGATATTCTCTGGTCCATCTGTTAAAAGTTAAATTATTGTAATTATAAAGATGATCCATGTTTTGCTAATTCATTTGCTGCCATATAGGGAAGATTGTAATGACTATTACGTAAATAAATATATCTGAAATCTGTTATCTATATAAGGCCATGTTAATTTAATTCTGTGTTTCAGGTTTTAGGTTCTCCAGAATTCAATGAGGGAGGGAGGTCAACACAACACACCTCCCAATTTTTAACATAAAACACATTTTTTCAACACAACACAAACTCAGAATATAGCTGAATATACCCAATAGAGCCATCTCCAGGATTGTTTTACTGATTTCCAGGAAGATTTTCTATTATTACTAGATAATCCATCAGGTGTGGATGTCATATTCTATGTTGTACTATAACTGCATTTTAAGGCCGCCCTGGAGGCACTCAAACTGGTCTATTGATATTATCATTGCAGTTCAGTGGCACTGCCATCCACATCTAATGGAATGTTAATTTATCAATAATAACATAACTACTCTAATGTATAAATTTATATCATATACTCTTAATAAACTTGTACGATGGAAGTTGTAGGCAAGTTGAAATAAGTCGCCCTGTACCGGAAATACTAGTAAATAAAATAAAAATTGTCCAGTCCATGTGTCAGGACAAACAAGTCTATGTACACATGTAACCAAGGACAATGTGGCAGCGAAAGTTCGCGTGCTGACACATGGAGTAATGTAATAACGTTTTAAACTTATGACCGTGATTTGTTTTCAAATCTTTCTGTATACAAATTACGATATTATTTTATTTTTTAAAACAAATATTTATGCGTGTAAATTAAAATGTGCGTATGTCGCCTAAAATAGACAGGCGTGTGCTCGATAGTGAAGAATGTACTGTGTGGATAGGTACGCGCGCGGAGCTGTCGAAATCAAAACACAACACAAACTACCGTGTAGAAAATCAACACAACCATGGATTTGATGATGTGAAAGCTACGCGCGCGGTTGACCCGAAACGCAGAATTAATTTAACACGGCCTAATGGATTACAATCATGTAGGTTATAACTAATACTTACAATAAACTGTTATCTGTAGTGAGTAGGGTAATACTTACAATAAACTGTTATCTATAATGAGTGGAGTAATACTTACAATTAACTGTTATCTGTAATACTTTAGTCTGCTTGCTGTTGGTGATATTGTTGTGTTGAGCCTGACAGGTGTAATTACCAGCTTGTTGTCTCTTGATATTGTTCAGTGAGAGAAGTTCAGTAGATGATATTATAGCTGAACCTTTGTACCAGATGATATTACACAGTGGATTACAGTCAGCTGAACAGGTTACAGTTCTACTTTCATTTTCTATCACTGTTATACTAGACTTGGTTGGTGTAAATCTGATATTCTCTGGTCCATCTGTTAAAGGGTAAATTATTGGAAAATTAGGAGCAGTCCATTTGCTGATTACACTATTTTGCTTGAATATACTATTTTGCCTATAACGTTTTTTAGGACTTCGAATTCTGTCTTATGGTTTGGATTGTTCGTACTTGGTTTTATTTTATTTTATTAACTGATAGTATCAACATAATATTATCGAGCCTACCACCATGATACTATCATATATAATAAATCCACTTACAATAAACAGGAAGAGTTACAGGTGGACTGCCGACACTACTGTCTCTACAGGTCCAGGTTCCAGCATCAGTTGATTGAAGATTAGTTATATTAAGATACAGTTGTCTTATGTCACCATTGATACAACCACATGTATATCTGGTATCTGATGATGATTGACATGTTAATAATAATACTCTACAGATTCTGTCATTACCAATGTTAAACAACACACCTTGAGGTATATTATCAACAGATATCTGACATGTAAATCTATAATCCCCTCCTCTAATACCATATGGTGATGATCCTGATAAATTGTATGTTTGACCTGCAATACAAGAAAGAGGTGACATGCTTCATTTTCCCTAGTAAATTTGATAAAATATTACCACCAGACAGGGAATATGATAAGCGGTATCGCATCGCAGTTTGTTAAACAACACAGCTTGAGGTATATTATCAACAGATATCCGACATGTAAATCTATAATCCCCTCCTCTAATACCATATGATGCTGATCCTGATAAACTGTATGTTTGACCTGTAATAGAAGTAAAAGACAACATGCCTTATACCTGTCTATCGGTATCGCAATAAATGCAAAATCAGCAGCCGAGTCATTCGCGCAATTCACTTTAGCTCTTGAAATATTGTCGGAAATTCTTAAAATGCGATATGCGGTGAATTATAACACAATATAACGAAAACAACAATGAAAAAAAACCCCACACCTATCATTGTCACGTTGTTTGTCTGGGTGTGGCGCTAACTTTCCAAAAGAAAAGCAACCTTTACCTTATAAACATGTAACTTATTATGGTATTTAATATATCGGTACTTAGAAATGTATCTATAATATTTAAAGTATTTGGTATTCTGTAAGCTGTACCAGTAGACGGATATTTTATACCCTGCTTCAACTTGTGCTCGTTCAGCCCGTGATTACCCACTACCTTATGACAAATCGTATTATACAACCGTTACCCCGTACACAAGAACATGGTAATGTGCCATGGGGGCAAAGCTTCTGAGTGATTTAATCCTATATGAGTCCGATCCACCAAGCTTAAATACCCAAACTCGTTCGGGAATTTACAAATATGAAATTTGACAGTGATTGGGAAGGGAATTTTACTTTAAGTAATTCAAAGGGAAGCAGCTTAATAGACTATTTATTAGTTCACTATACTCGGGTGTATTTACCGAATTCTCAGGCCATGCCACTCGAATCAAGTCAGACATCACAACCATAGCTTGTGAACTATGTTAAATGGGACAAGGATAAATATAAGTCGTCAAAAATCTAATTAATCAACAAAGAATTCTAGATAGCCTATCTAGATAATTGTATTAATAATGATTTAAATCAGACTTTAATTGACTCATGTATTTATAAATTTTCAAACACATTACCTGAATTGCTATCCCCCTATTGTAACTATGGAAGTCTATTGCGACCATTTCATAATCTCGACTTCTCGCCGCTCGCGGCGGAAAGAACGCGAGGGTGCGAGAAGTCAAGATGTCGAGGGCGAGAGTGCGAGAACGCGAGGAAACAGGGCGAGAATGCGAGGAACTTGCCTTCAAAACACGAGATTATTTTTACTCAACTTCTCGCTCCCTCCTCCATCGACTTCTCACTCCCCCCCCCCCCGCGTTCTCGCACTGTCGCCTTTGAAAATCCTCGATTTCTCGCCCCCTCTCGTTCTCGCCTTTGAGAATTTCTCATCTTCTCGCTTTCTCGTACCCTGGCTTAGTCACAATCTCACTCCCTCGCATTCTCGCCTAGGAAGTGCATTGTAGGAGAAGAACAGTACGGGCTTTGGTGGACGAATGGTTAACGCGCGCGCATACAATGATAATATGACACTATAGGGTTACTTTAGGTCTAAGAAAGATGTTCTGTTTAATATAGAAATCTTTACCTACATGATGTGTGACGAAAACTAGGGTAATGAAGTAGCTTGCATTACTCTGCTACTATCTTAGTCTAACTCACAGACATTTATGTCAGTATCCATTTCTGGAAGTAGGGTACTATTGTTCAGTCATCTCGTGCACGGATTAGTACAACTAACTAGAATAGTGTTGACGTAAAACGGTGCTTATATGAAACACTTACCCAAAAATGGTAATTGTCCCGCCCTAATAGATGACGCATTACATTTTCTATATAGGAAAGAGCGTTTTTGATTTACCCTTAGACAATCCTTTGGAGCTCGGGAGATCACAATACGTATAGCCTCCTCGGCTTAGAGGCTAGGGTGAACACATCATCCTAGCGCGAACCTTATGTAGAACTATCAAGAAGTATGTGGGTCTTGCCACGTTTAAGCCGTTCAGGTCTGAGTTATAAAGGTTATTAAACTCAGATCGTGGATATTTTAATAACTCAAAAAATACTATCATTACTTTGTAGTTTGCTGTATTTGCTGTGTTTACAGGATAGTGTCACATCCGTTTATTTGTAATCCGTGACCAGGATAGTCACATGTACCCCATAGTGTCACAATAAAGTCTGTCATTGAGTCAAATGGCGCGGTATCGATTCCTCGCTTGTACGTGACAAGGGGTAGTGTCGCCTGTCCAACCTCGTGGGTTTTCCCTGGGTCCCACAGTTTCCTCCCACTGTTAAAGACCCGTTTCGGTGCTTTTTGATGCAGCATGGACGTACCTTTGTTTACTGAACCCACGAATTTCGCCTCGAATCCGGATGCTGTAAACCAACCTTGAGGTGCGATAACTCGATAATGCAACATAGAAAGTGAATGTGAAGATATAAACATCTTCGAGTCACCAAAGCCAAAGACGTAATTGTATGTGCATTGAGCCTGCCCTAACCCTATTATCCGATATTAATGATATGTTTACGCTAATGCATTTCGAAAATTCAACATAGAAGCTTCTGAAAGTGTGCAGTCTAGTAGTTTATTCAAGGCTGGGCGATTTGCCCAATACTACCCAATACCACCCAATAGCACCCGACCAATGCTCCAAGATCACCACATACTACACAATACAATAACGTGATTGTGCAAAATGAGCATATTACTTGATTTTCTTTCAAAAATAGTGGGATTTATCGTGGGAAATGTACTTCAAATGGGATTACCGAAGTCTGGCTGTTCTATTTGCCTCCCTATTTTACCCAAATCAAGCAAATAATAACCCAATACTACCAAATATTATAAAATACAGACCTAATATCGTCAATTAGCAGCACATCAGTATAATAATGGAAAAATATATTCGATAATTTGCAGAAAATTGAAATATTTACTCAGTTATCTCCCTTTACAACCTATATATAAATAGATTTTAGGTTGCTAATCAGATTAATCATCTTGTCGAGCTTTGCAGTTTGTTTCCAAGACGACGAAGTTAAAATAAGGAAAACAAGTTATTATAGTGGAAAAAAGACAAAGAAAATGATTAATCTGAGTAGCAATCTAAAATCTATTTATCGGTTGCAAAGGGAGATAACTAGGTAAACATTTAAATTTTCTTCAAAATATCGAATATTCGTTGCAGTAATGATACTAATGTGCCCGCATTTGACAATATTAGGTTGTTATTTGATCATATAAGACTAAACAAGATATTATTATGATGAATTACGTACGTAATCCAGGCACCTTCCATAATACATTTAAAATAATATATTGGAATTAAGGAGTTTCACGAACACTTTAAAATCTTTGAAAGAACTTTTCTACACATAATAACCGAATTGTAGACGATTACTTTTATATTCATGATAATTATTTAAGTATCAACGATTCTCTGATTGCAGATATTGATAGACGGATTACAGGGAGTGAAATACTCGAAACCATTAAACATTTAAAAGCTGGCGAAGCATACAGGGATACTTGCGAACTAAACTTATTAAAAACTTTAAAAAGTGTTATGGCCGTCATATTGACTTGATTGGTAAATATAACAAGTCTCTCTCGACTATAATTCTAGATATATTTAATTGATGCGTATACTATCTCCCTGATAATGTCTGTCTACTACATCGTTAACACTGTTTATCACATGCATTTTGCATACCAATAGTCCATTGGCCAATCACGCTATTTTACCGAGATTTCGCCTAAGTTTGGATGCAGCTATGGCGGGTGTGGCGCCAGGCAGGGTAAGCTTACTCATGGACACCTGATACCACTGTTTGTCGTGTGTTTTGTACACGGTGAACAGGCCATATGCTGATTACACTATTTTACCTATACCGTTTTTTTAGGACTTCGAATTTGTCTAATGGTTTGGTTTGTTCGTACTTGGTTTTATTTTATTTGACAATGATAACATTTTAAATGGATTATTTATACATTGTACAAATGAATTATTACCTTGTCTATTATTATTATTCAATAATGTAATATGCTCTGGATATTTTCCAACATCATGGTGTATACCCGACAATTATAGAGGTATCACCTTATTAAGTTTCTTCAGTAAATATTTTACACCAATTCTAAATACAAGGATATTAACATTTGATAAACTTAATAACGTCCTAACAAATTCACAATTTGGTTTTTGAAAAGGCCTATCCTCTATAGACGCCATTTTTGTTTTACAAACATTAATTAACTGTACATTAAAACGTAAGAAACGTCATTATTTTATAATTTTTTTTTCTAAACAATATCTATTCACAAAAACTGGATTGGGGAACAGACAGAAGCCTATAGATCCCCTCTCCATAGAAGTACAAACATAAATATATATCGAAAAGATGCCAAAAAAACAAAGAAGAAAAGTAAAGTAAA